TTTTAATTATGTTTATTACTTAGTATTATGTGATATTGTTTTATGATTAATGTTTAATGATTGTGACGAATGAACTTGGAGTAGTAAGAAGTAAAAGGTTGTATTTCTAACAGTGTATGAATCTATGTTGTTATGATATGGCTTGATTTAATGTTACACCATGTATCTTTTTATGTTTTGTATGAGATTGTATAAGTTTGACTAGCTCTATATCCTATGGGTGCTAAAGCCCCTGTACAGGATTTGTGGAGTTATTTAATAACAATAAACAATAAACATACATCCCAACTATTTTACAGTGAAATAGCTCTATCTTGGAAGACTTTCAGAATAGGACACATGTTTATACTCATTCTTTTGTTTAGAATGACTGATACTATGACCTTCCACAATATTGACTCTCCTTCCTGGGATAGCCTGTATATGCTTGACAGGGCACAGCCTTCTACAGCTTTGAAGAGTGACTGTTACCATTCAATTCAGAATGCTCTGTCTTCAAATGAGCTACCTAAAGGTGTAAAAGTTAAGATGTTCAAAACTGTAATATTATCTGCTGTTCTGTAAGACTGTGGAAGGTGATCTCACACTCAGGAAAAAAACAGAGTTTGAAAGCTGAGTACTGTGAAGTAACTCTGGACCCTTGATGATACGGACAGATCATGCAGTGAATGTTGAAAAGAAGAAATTCATATAACATTTTGGTCAAAATAGATAAAGGAAAGAAACATTCTGGAAGATCTAGGCATAAACTAGAGGGTAATATTAAAATGGATCTTACAGAAATAGGGTTAGATGGTGTGCACTAGAATCATCATTCCTAATCATGCCATAATTTTTGTTTTGAGGTTCTAAAGGTGGTGATGATTGCAAAGAGTTCTGGCTTCTGGAATGAGATACCATGTAGTCTGGTAGATATTTAACAATGTTTCAGAGGAGCTTTCTACTTCTAACCTGAAGATGGAGCCCGCATGTTAATTTGAAGCGGTAAATGTTTACCACATAATGTGGTGTCACATACGAGGAGACAGAAATCTTCATTCATAACTTTAGTTTAAAAGCCTCCTAATGTTATGATGGCACACTAAAAGACTGTCATTACAACTATATTCCAAAGATAGATCAGCTTATTTTGGGTCGTCTGAGCAATTTTACCCACTGTGTACTCATTTTATGCACTTTATGAAAAGACGTATAAAAGGAATAAACATTATTCTCCAGATTATCCAGTTAGCAGCTTATCTGTGCCTATGTTATGCATATCTACAACCCTCTGCCAAGCCTATTAAGTCTCCTCTGTCCATCTGTCTGTATGCATGAAACAACTTGAGATTTACATAACTGATTTTAATTAAATTTGATATCAGGGAATTTTGCAAAGAAACAGTAACAATAAATTAAGATAAAGCTGCTCCTGTGCTTAATTAAGCATTCTTAATCTAGGCTCAAGATAAAGTTGAGTGGCCAGCTCCATTCCCACACCACTTTACCCCACATGGGGAATAGGAGGCTGGGCGAGTGTCTGTCTGGATAATATGAAGAAGAGAAAAGTCTCTTGCTTATGTCAGGAATTGAACCATAATTCCTCAGCTGCCTGGCCCTTAGTCTAGTCATTATACTGAATGTGCTGATGTTATTTCGACATTCATTTAGATCAAACAGTTATATGGGCAACTTTACATGAATACTCGTATGCATTTCTGCATGTATCTTGAATGTAACTTGTTAAAACATTTATTGCAGTCAGAAATACTTGAGACAAAATTTGAAGGGAAAAATGAACTCCGTGGATTTAGTCTGAATGCGTACTACACCGACCCTCTATCCGCTAAAGTTGGCACTAACTTCATCGACAAACAGTGGTCGCTTGGTCAGTATAGAGAAAAATGAAACATACATTTTATATTCAGAACGTTTTTTCCGTAAGTGTTATGATTTTTTAGATAACTATACAAACATTACAGACAATTTATCAAAACAAATTCAATAAAAGTCACACCAGGATTTAGCCAATGCATGATGTATTGAGAGAGCAAACTATAAAAACTCGATCACAGAGGCCAAGGACAAACTCAGCATCACAGCTGATGAAGTAAAACTCATGACACAGATTCCAAAACTTATACAGAAACACTATAAAATTAACCAAGACATCCTGGATGACTAAAGAACAAATCTGCAATTACCAAAATTTTGGACTATACAAAAAGATCGATTTACAAAACTGACGCAGAGGGACTGATTCCTTAAGTTAGTCATCACAGAGTACCTGAAACAATATGCCACACACAAGTCACAAGTATCCATTCACCTGTAAATCTATCTATTATAGTTTGCATCTCCTGACATAAATATACCAAACAAAAAGAATAGTAACATGTCTTTGCAAAAACGTGATTACTTCCTGAGTGGTTTACTGAAAAGGACAAAGGCTAGGGCACAACTGTGTATTTTTGGCAAGTACAGTGTAAGAACAATTGTAAAAACAGAGATGTATTGGATAACTCATGAACAATGTACCATAACAAAGAAAGTACTAAAAGCTCCGTTTTATACACTTCCAAATGTGTCCTAATAATAAGAAACATGGTCAGAAATATTGTCAAAAGGACACTGGAATTTTGATGGATTTTAGGTCCAATGCATCTCAAGTATTTAAGAATTTGCACTACAAACTAACTGGAAAATAGTAGTTAAAACTGATTAGGTAAAGCGGTCCCTGTGCTTAATTAATTATGTAAACACTATATCATGAAGACATATGGGGGAATGGTGGTACTGGTCCATCATTTTGGAGTTCTGCACTACATGGACATGAGTGGTCACCTTCATGCCCCGGCTGCTTTACTCCCAAGGATATCGCCCCAGGTTACAACCGATTAGTCTAATACCAAACGTGTTTACATTAATGACAACAGTGTCAGATTAACACCCTTGAGAACTGCTAGCTCAAACAGCTTGTTTCAAGTTCTGTGTAGGAACTTAAAATCATTTTATTACAAAACTACAGCTCACACAGAGCTCACTTAATAGTTCTAAATCCTATGAGTATAGAAACTCAAGAAATTAACATTTTTTTTTCATGAAAAATATCACACTACCACAAATTGTTTACTTAAATTACAAAGAATATGGGTCTATTAATCAAATTGACGTAATATTTAAGGACAAACAACACCTGACCATCCTACTTTCAGAAATATCATACATCGAATACAAAACGCCTTGCACTAAACCAGTATTCTTGACTTTTTGATAATGTTGTAGGTTACAATACTTCAATCGACACTTCGGTGCCTAACATTTTGTCATGATTAACGACATTTCATAAGCTTGCTGATTACGTACAATATACAGAATGTTCAACGCCGTAAGGGCATTCTTGGAACACGTAAATCCTCCGCACATGGTGCACACATAAAAATAATACACGATATACAACCGTCACTTTAAACAGCCGATCAATGACAGCACGCAAAGATCCAGCGAACTACCAGCATAGACAGCAAAGGAACCGAAAGGAACACATGTGCATCTCACTGCTATAGCCTGGCGACGTACCCGCCGTGATGTCATAATTGTCTTATACTGCCATCTACATTCCTTGTTCAGGATTTGGTGCAAAATAGCTGCAGCCATACCAGAGAGCTCAGTCAGTAAGAAGGTTAACTACTATCGTACTGTCCTATTTTAAGTAACCCCCTCCCCTTCCAAATTGCGAGTCCAAAACACAGCAATTTTGTATTGCACAACTGGCGGGTCCATAAAGTTATTTTTTTCTTGTATGATGAACGTCAAGACTAGGAAATACACTTTTCTCAACAAAATTAATACTGTGTGAGATTTGACGTTTTCACGGCGGTGACTATGAAGAAAAGTTTTCTGGGATGTGGCACTGTGTAGATATTGTTTCGGAGGAACGTATCGTCTCTATCTACAAGGTAGAGGAAAAAGAAGAAACTCCGCAAGCGAGGAACCGACACGAGGGACACGAGCAAGTGCTCACAGAGTAATGTCGAGTCGAACGGTATAAGAGCAGAAAGAGCCGAGGGGAGAAGGGCTACATGGGAAATCAGCAGAGAGGAGAGGGGAAGGGTCTGGGGAGGTGGGCCAGCGGGTAGCAGGCCAGAGCAGATATAGAAATCGTGTCTGGGCGAGAAAGGCAAGGTTAATAGTGGGGTATTAACCCCTAAGTTCAGGGGCTGGGATGCGAAACTGGCATGGACTGCATGGCCTTGTGGATCTGGCGTTATGTCCCGGAAGTTTCTTGAGGGAACAGATGAGAGGCTTCCATGACTTGCTGAGACAAAACCCCACATCTCTGTTCATATAGTCGGGATGGAGTTCAATCTCAATGGCCTCCCTAATGCTGCGCTCCATATATTGGGTCTTGGTGGCGAGGATGGAGGTATTCTGAAGCTGAATGCGGTGTCCCAAATCGATGCTGTGTTCAGCCACAGCTGACATGTCTGGATGTTCGAGACAGATGTTCCACTGATGCTCCTTCAAACTCATGTCAACGGAACGGCCTGTCTGCCCAATATATACTATACCTTGCCACACTTGCAGAGGATTCTGTATACACGTGGTTTCTTTAGTCCCAGGCTATATTTGACCGGCCAGAGGAAAGTAGATAATTTGGTAGAATATAGTCTTGACATGGGGCAGGAAGGTGACTGAGTTTGGCTTATCATTGGGCCAACTGATGCTTGGACGGTTGAGAACTCTGTGAATCTGCTGGTTGTTGTAACCATTCTGCCTGAAAACGTCACCCAGGAGCACCAACTCTGCATGTAGGCTGTCTTGATCGCATAGAGCTCTAGCCCTGTGCACCAATGTGGAAAGTACAGCTTGCTTGTTGGATGGGTGGTGGTGGGATGCAGCATTAAGGTAGAGGTTTGTATGGGTGGATTTGTGGTATACTCTATGGCCCAGAGAAGAACCATCGGGTCTCCTGTAAATATCTATATCCAGGAAAGGGAGGTGGCCCTCAGTTTCAGTCTCCATTGTGAACTGAATGCATGGGTGGATACCATTTAGGTGGTTCAGGAAGTCTTTAAACTTGTCAGGCGCATGTGGCCAGATGACAAAGGTGTTGTCCATGTAGTGAAACAAGCAGCAGGGCTTGTGTGGGGCCAAGTCAAGTGCCCTCTCCTTGAAGTCCTCCATATAAGTTTGTGATGACCGGAGACAGTGGCGGGCCCATTGCCACACCATCGGTTTGTTCACAGAACTGGCCATTGAAGCTAAATTATGAGGTGGTCAGGACATGATGGAAGAGTTTCAAGATATTTTCTTCAAAATATTGTAGCGTGTTTTATGTGTCACGCTACAAATAACTTTACTCCGTTGTCAAATTCTGTAGAACCTTTATTGTTCTTCACGCTTACACAATCACGAGTACAGTAACTATTCACAGTGACACCTCAACTGTCTTCTGCGACGGATGTTCCTTGACTGACTTCTTAGACGGGCGATCCGAGACTCTCTTCTTCAAGGCCTGTTCCGAGACTTCTGTCTTCTCCGAAGACTATTCCGAGGCTGACTGGCTTCGTGTCGAAGCTGGGCTATTTATCCTTGGCCGCTGCTAGGTAACGAACCCTCTGTTATAGCGGTGGAGACGTTGCATTGTTGGCTCCGCGTTTCCTACGCAATAACCCATTGTTATCGCGTTGTCTCTGTGGGAACCTTCGCGTATTCGTCGTAACCGTGGAGATTCCTGTTAGAACTACAGTAGAGCAATTGTTGTTTATTATGCAACGGTCTATTCTGGCGTTTCCACAGAAGTGTCTCTTTTGGACTCCAGACACGTTACAATATCATCCTAGCAGATCCATAGTATCCTTTATAGGGCCTCTGGTGAAGAGCGACAGTACATCAAAACTGACCATTATGTCATGATGACGACTTGGAGAGAACCCAAGGAGTAACTCCATGGAATTTTTCCACACCTTGGGTTCTCTCCAAGTATTTTAATCAGCTAGTTTCATGGGTACCCCAAACTCTATTAGAATATGTACAATACATCCCTCCTAACTGAAACATAGGCTTTCTCAAAGTATATGAATAGCTGATGTACTGTCTCACTGTACTCCCATTTTTTTTCTCCAGTATCCAATTACCACAAAAAACTGATCAGTAGTTAATTTATGTCAAAACCAACACCCATGATTCCCAGTAATTTCGACTACATATGAACTTAACATTGAGAGAAGGATGCTGGCCAAAATTTTGTATGAAGTTGGTAATAGTGATACAATCAGCTTTACTGCCCTTCTTGTAAATTGGCACAACAGTAGACTCCATCCAGTGATCAGGCAATTCTTCCTTCTCCCAAGTATAATTAATGACTTTATAGATCTGAAGACTGTAATGTTTCACCTCCTGCTTGAATAAGTTCTACCATAATTTGATCACTACCTGGTGATTTATACTTTTTCAACTTTGCAATAGCAATTTCAGCCTCAAAAGGACTAAGACCAGGCACTTATGGCTCAGCTGTATGTATTTTTATCTGCCTAACATCACTGACCATATGTACGTTCAACAACTGAGAGTAGTAGTTCTTCCACCTATTCAAAATGTTGTGGGTATCTGCAAGATCACCATTCTTATACTTCACTAAGTTACTTCCAGATTGGTAACCCTTCTTAAATTAATTTATTCCTCTATGCAGTTCTCTAATATTCTTGTTTTTATTGTTCACTGCAAGCTCAAAAGTTTTGTCTTTCATATATTCCCTGCTTTTCTTCCTGAAATGCCTGCTGGTTTCATGTTCAATACGAGTATTGTGCAGATTAACCCCATTTATTTCTCGTTGATCCTGTAATCACTGAAATTTGGCCTCACGACACATGTAAATAAACTGCCTGATTATGCACATAATGAACATTATTGTGCCCTGACCAAATTAATATATTTCTAGTTAGGTAAAAAGCATATGTGCCATTTGCCAGCTTTTGTGCATGAATTATCTTTACTGTGTGCATCCTGCAGCATGTCCCAAATGTATATAGCTGGGTTAGCCGCCACCATGGCAAAGTAATTTTAATCAATCAATATTTTACAATTGAATACTTACTTCCAGCTACATGTTTCGGTCCCAGACAACCATTATCAGGCAGTGATACAAGAATATGGCTAGGGTCAGTGAATTGCTAATATGGATCCATATTTGGTGGAATGTATCATACTCTATGATAGAGAATTATGCTTCGAGTTAAATATAAGTATTGAAATTAAGCATGTAAAAATATGCGGTGGCATGCACACAGAGAGCCTGCACAAAAATAACACGTGAGCTGTGCTGAAAGCAAGAGGTAGCCGCTGCAGCACATATAAGCATAGAGCAGGTATCTCTGTGATTTTTTTATTTTAAATTAAAATTTTAAATATTAAAGTTAAATTGAGAATTTAAAATTTTAAACCAATTGACGAGTCAATATTAATAAATATTTTAAACATAATTGACAAAACCAACAAGGGGAGTTCTAGAATATCGGGTGCCAACTGATGACAGAGCAATGAACAATTGGAAATCTGGAGTTTAAATGTTAATATTAAGTGCAGTGTGACAGCTATGTGAAGTAAAATACACCTGATGATGGCCGGTTGCGGCCGAAACATGTAGTGTGAAACAAGGGGGACAAGCACTACAATAAAGTGTTGCATTTACGACAGAGTTTGTATTATACATATAGAATATTATTTCTTTCCACAGAGGGCTACTGACCCATTGTGCAGAATAGCATTTCTCTCCAGTATTTACCCTCACTCTGCAACCATGAGTAGCTGCCCTTGCCAGGTACTACAAGCCAAGCCTGTGTGATTTCGCAGTCACAGTGGCAGGGTGCTACTTCATGATGGGTTTATATCTAATGAGAATTCACAGCCCCTACTTCTCATGCAGATTGAAGTGTAGTGTCAATGCAGGATATACATGTTCATCTGACTAAATACTCTGAAATAAAGTAAATGCTTTGCCTGTCCATCACATACAATAAAAAGATATTACTACTCCTATACTGTAGAAGTAATAATCAATGTTTCTTTACTACAATTGACATGTAGAGCAGCAAATGTGAGCTGACCGAACATCCAGCATTTATTTTGACCAATCTGCCAGGCCTAATTTCTTTACAGTTGGGTATTTAACGGTGCTGTTAGTACTGAGACTGGTGACTTCTCTAGGATGACTCAGCTGAGAGGAGTTAGTTAGCACTAAGACTATGGCACTGGATAATAGGATGACTGATGAATAGGAAAGGATTTGAAGGACATGGTTGTACCCTGAAGTGCTACATTGGCGTTTGACTGGAGGGACTATGTAGAACCGTGAAAACCTCAGTCAGGATAGCTGGTGTCCTGACTGAGACGTGAACCAGGTATGTCATGGGTACAAGTCTGGACCATTACTGCTAGACCAATCTGTTCAGTGGCAGCCCCTAAAGTGCTTAGAACTACAGTGCAGGATCCACCATTATAAAGTGTATGGATGCCAATGACTGCAAGTTTCTCCATAATCTGCC